ACTTTACTTCAAGTAGACCGTCAGCTTGTTTGCCGCCTTTCTAGGTTTAAAAAAAAATAATGTACTTGTGTTCATGTAGAGCCAAATTATTCTATTGTAAAAAAAATTAAGCAAAAATAAATAAACATTTTTATTCATCATATTTATTCACAGATACAATTCCTAATGGGGTTAATATTATTATATCAGCCGTAACCTTCCATTGTCCGATCCCATAAGGGGGGTCTGACCAGTAGTTGCCGCGCTTGGTAGGCGGGTTGGCAACCGCAGTTTAACTTTTGGTAATGTTTTAAGAGGGACGCTGTTGCCCATTCCCCCACTATAAGCTCCCTTAAACATGAATTTCAGAAGTCGAATAATAAATTATATATATCACTAGATAATGTATAATATAAAAATAAAACATACCAGATTTTAAAAATCTATATGAATACTACTGTAAAAACTGCATCCAATTTAGTGCAATAGTTATTGCGTGATGCCAGAATAAACTCACAGACAGGCAGATAAAAATTCTAAAAATTATCACCCTTACTAAAACCCATCATATTAATTTTTCTTAAATATCTATAATATCCATGTACAGACATCGACTAGTTACAATTTTATTATATTAGTAAGATTATTCCAAACTTTTCTAATTTAAAGTAAATACTATTTCCGATGCTAAAGTTCCTGTATACTTGACTTTATATGGATATGTATGTATGTTGCTTGCACAACCTCCTCGTAAAATAACGCGTGTACACAGCATTGCACTGTAGTTCAAAATCCGATGTGAAGGTAATGTAATTCTAATCTTTATTTCACTGATTGCAAGAAACGAAGCGGAGCGAAATAGAAATAAAATTAATCCCATGGCATCCTTAAACGAGTTATTACCAGAGCTATAAAGACTAGCCACTTCCTGGTGGTAGCATAGAAGCGGTGCGATTTCATAACACAATTTTCCCTTTCGCAACTCGAGTTAGGTAGTTGCGGTTGCCTTGATACAAACCAAGAGTATTCAGATATGTAATTGAACCAGCTTCTGCATATAACGCCGATGGCATGGAAAAGAATCTTTTACTGACAAATTATTTCAAAATATCATTTGAAAATAGTCATTTTAGTACTAACATAAAATAATTTTAACAATAGTTTCGTTAAACATCAAAAATAATTATATAAGAAGTAATAAAGTTTATTTGTAAATATTTCGGTCACAATCTAATTTTTCAAAAACCAGAAGCAATATTTTCGATTCGATACGACATCGTAATTTTTAAGACGAGCATATTCCTTTTTACAGATGACAGCATATCTGCAATTCTTCCAGTGGTTTATAAAAAAAATTGTTTGTCGTCAAAATATATACACAACACATGAGATAACATTTATATACATGTCGGATTACTGCATTTTTCATAGATGATTCTAGAGGAAACCTTCGTAAAATACTTGTCTTCTTGGTGACCTCTTGTTTCTACTGTTTGTTGTTTCTACAGTGTAAGGAGGCATAACACCTTAATCATCTGGAATAGCAACATAGACATCATAGAATATTGGAATAGCTACATAGGTATCACAGAGCATTATATTATACAATGTCCAGGGAGATATTTCCATACATCGGCGATGATTACCGCTTTCCGTCTGGTGAACTGTCACAATGTCTTCCATTACGAATTAAATAAATTTTAAAAAGACATGCTATAAGACTGTTGCTATTTCCAATATAGTCTTCAATAAATGCTAGTAAAATTTCAATTCAACTCGCCTTTTCTTTATTGGAATAAAGAGCAAGCTCGATTTTAGTTATAAGGAAACGGAAAATTCAATTATATTTCTTCTTTTGCCTGAGACTGTGAGTCGCTAACTTAATAAATCTATAGAGTATCCTTTAAATACGAATATTTTCTATTCACATTATTTATTTGTAATACTTTTTATATATACTATATACGAGTATTATTAATCAGGAATTTAGTATTATGGAAAAAATAATGCCTTTTAATTCCATAAACGTTCAGATGCCTATACTTTTTAAAAGTATTAATTAATAATTAATTGTATTCTACAAAAAAAAAATTGTTAATAAAGTTATTTAAATAAAAATAAAATAAAAGGAAACCTCCTTCAATTGTGTAAAAGTAGTTATTTTGATTATTATTATTATTATCCTTTCAAATAAAAAAAGAATTTTCCAAATTGGTTAACAACTAACGGAGTTAAGAGGGAACAAATAGAAAAAAATACACCCGAATTAACATTTTGGAATCGGTAGAAAAAATATATTTTTTGGCCATACATCATTACCAAAAATTTGTATGCCACTAACACTGCAGTGAATCTCTTTAACTAAAAAAAAAATTATGGGGATAAATAAATTAAACACACAAAGCCTCTAACAAAATCACGTAAAAAATATTATAGAATTTAAGAAAAAAAGCTAAATTCTGTTTATAGTCTGTTAAAAATACAATGTTAAGTTTACAAATAAACTTCTAAGTTTCCTTAGTGCCATTTTCAGGAACTTGTTCTTGAGAGTGCCTGTGTCCGAGTCTCGAGAATAAAACGTTCCAACGTTGAGTATTTGCCATCTCTCTTCTATTTACTCCAAACTTAATACAAATATATCACAAAGACTGCAGGATCTTAGTTTGAAGTATTCTACTATGTTGTTTTACACTACAAATTATTAAAACGTACCCACCAATAGTTTATAGAAGCATAGCTATTTATGATTCAGTAAGGATCTTATTTAGATGACTGCTAATAAATTCTTGTGTTCCATAAAGCAATATAGAGCTTAGATAATAATAGACTAGTAGATTCTAGACTTTATAATAAAATACTTTATCATCTATTGAGGGCACTAATGTATCTATATAAACATTTCTGTGTTCTTAGATGTGTGTACCATGTATGTGTGTTGAAGATTGACGTCGATTTTTTTCTATAAGAGTTTTCTTGTAAATTACTCTAAAAATGAGGTTAACGAACCTCATTGCCTAGGAGGAGAGGGATTGTTAGTATTGGGATCTAACAAACAACATAACTAGCAATATACCCCATCAGGTCGACTTCCACGCCGTTCCTCCTGGAAACCATCTTGGTTAATTCTTTATGATTTCATCAGTATGGGCCATATGACCTGTTTCATCCTCATCTGTCAACTCTCACTGGTGCCCTGTCAGTGTACACCAATAGCAAAGGCGAGGTTACAATTCCATTATCACCCATTAAAAAAAAAACCTAATTGCCTTATTGTTTGCCAATTATGTATTGATTTTACTGATTCTTTTTACAATCGATACTCTTTATACTCTGATTGTAATATATTAATATCATCATCATATCTGTTGCAATTTTTTTAAGTCTCAATATTTTATTTGTATTAAAATTGTTACTAATAATAATAAATTTTTATTAATTATTTATAATGAATATTATAAATGCAAAAGTAAGATTGTTTCATCGTGGCGCTTTAACGGCTCAAGCACTTGTTATAAAATTTATTATACACGTAGATAATAATTGGGATGAAGAAGGACATAGAATATGTTTACTTCGGTCAAACAAATTCACGGAAAAAATTGTATATCCATCTATCTACCTTTACGCCAAGTCTCTTGCAGTGTAGTCAGAGAGAACCGAGAGCCAAAGACACCTACCCTTACATACATCCCTTGCTTTATTCACTTTTATAACTCATATGTAATAAACCTAAGATAATATACATCAGAAATTTATTATTATTTCCAATACCAAGTGATTGTATCTCAAAATAAATTAGATGCATTTCAACAATAGATCACATCCAACATCTTACAATAACCAACAAAACAGCCAATTTGAATATTGGCAATGTTTGTTTGCTGCAATAACGACATCTTCATCTGTTTTCCCACGGACAGTAACCCGAATCGTAACTAGCTCTAATGATAGGTTGAAGTTAAATAGATATTGTTTGTAAAATGACCTTTAAATATATTATGATCAATATTATTTCACTTTTAAATAAAAGAATTGATTTGATTCCTATACGAAGACTAATACTCAAAGTACCTACTGCATTTTAATAAAAAAATGCTAAATAACATATGGGCACATTAGTAAGAAAATGTTAATTTAATCTTTTTCTAGTGTTTTCACTAGTATAAAGTTTAAATGAAAAATCAATGTGCCGATTATTAAATGATAACACAAACACTAATTAATACTTAAAGTACTACATTTTAATAAAAAACAAATTAGATAATAAAAGATATCTAAATCTTTGGTTAGAAAATATTAGTTAAAACTTTATTTTAACCAAATGCTCTACTATTATTTTACTAATTTATTAAATAATGTTAACTCTACCAGTGTAATATGCAACATGCATATCTGTCACGGCTATCTCCCATTAAGGTAGGCGGAAACAATGGAATGCCAAATACTACGATTTAAACAAATCTCTTATTCATCAATCTTTTCATACACGCCGGTGTCGAGTTACGAGTCGCCGGTTACGAGTACTTTTAATTTGGCCCTTCTTCAGTACATCACCTATTTAGTCGATGTATGTCCATCTAGGGCGAAAGTATGCAACTGTGAATATAATCAAATGTTAATACAATGCGTTCAGCTGTCAAATTATATGGTACCTCTAAATTTTTATCATTTTTAAATAGATGGTACTTTAGGAAATATTGGTACCGTAAAGCAGTTGTGTCTGCATGGCTGTGTTTCGGTTTGGAGGGAGGGATATGGCGTGAATTTACAGGGTACAGAGGAATAATACCTAAGTCCTCAGGAATGGCAACGCATGGGGGCTATCATAGGCAAAACAGTATACTCTGTTATGTCCATGGTACTGCTCATGTCTATAGGCGACGGTTACCACTTTCCATCAGGTGGGCCGTCAGCTTGTTTGCCATTCTAAGTAGTATAGTAAAAAAAGAACACTCCCTTGATAGAACAAACAAAGAAAATTTCTATTTCAACCTTAATAAAGAGGTACAACCTGCTTACAGGATGACGTTCACTGCGGCGCTGGTGTTGCTGTGCGCGGCATGGGGCGCGCGCGGTGGACAGCCGGTGTTCGACCCCAGCACGCTGATGCGGCTGGTCCTCGTGCCGGCAGATGCCACCGTCGGCTCCGTCATCTACCGCGTCCGCGCCTCCGACCCTGACTACGATTATCCGCTGCATTTCGAACTTATTGGTAAGTAACTCTTTAACAAAATTATCTAATCCCAAGATTTAAGGGGGAGAAGATTGTTAGTAATAGAGCCAGTGGCTTCATAGCAGGCACTATGACCTCTACAATTAATTATGATGGGCCTAATGACCTGACTTCATCTTCATCTATCTACACTCACTAGTATCCCACCAATTATAAACTATGTAAATTAAATTTACCCATCCTCAATACAGGTCAAATGGGCCGCCTGGACATCGGCATCGAGTCACTACCTTGCACTCGTTACAACTCGGTATGCCAAGCCAACGTGATCCTGCTGCGGAGGCTGGAGCCAGGACGCTACGTGGACTTCAGACTGTCTGTTCGGAATACTAGGGGGAGCTCTTCACGGATAGCTTGCTCCATCACTGGAACCAACGCTACCACGCCAAGGGACACTATCTTTCCTCATCAACCCAGTATTATATTAGTGCCAGAGGTAAATATCTTATTTAGTTATATCCTGCGTCTTTTCTTGCGTAAATTTGTACATAATGTGCCCTATATAATAATTTAGTAAAACATGCTGGTTGTAATTTTTTTTTTTTTACAACCAACATGTTGATAAAAATTTCTTTAATTTATAGTAAATTTTTCTATATAGATTAGAACAAAAAGAAATATATAATACTCTTTTCTATTTAAAATTAGATCTATATAACAAATATTCCACTCCATTCAACCGTTTAAGAAAGATTTAGTACACATATCCAAACATATATTATCCAACTTTCTCATCATCTGTTATTATTAAGTAAGATTATAAGAAATTTATTAAATTTTAATGTTGTTCTCTTATCTTTTGTTCTACATCACTCATCAATACATTACGAATAATATATGCGCTTCATCTAGTGTAATTAGTTTCTATATCATTTCAATTAATTCATAGCAGATAAGCTTATGTGAAGTACATTTTAATCCTTAGTCAATGGAATAAGGCCCACCTCCGTCAACTACGAGTAATGCAGAGGCGTGATGCCAAATGATTGATGATGATTTTCGTCGGTGCTCATACAAAATATTGAATTAAACTCGCGTATTAAGTACGCTGTACACAATTTACATTAAGATTACTTACCACAAAATATCTCTTGTCATGTTACTAACTTTCTGGTTAATAAGATTGCTCTGAAGTTCTTTCGAGTTTTGAAAAGTTTATAGGTTGTTCCTTTAACAAGAGGCAACAAATAGTGATCTTATTTTTATAGTTGGTGTAATAAAAATTATATAACTATTTGAAATGTGGCGGTAATGTTTATGAAATTAAAGATAAAATAAATACGAGAATATGTCGTAATATCGTGATATAATAGTTATCGTATCAATGTTCCTAGTTAAATCGCTTTAAAATTATTTAAAAAAAGATATTCTCATGCCTTATGGACAAAAGTTGTTCAGTTTCTTACATTATAATATCGATCACAGAAAATATAATAATAATGCGATTCATAAGTAAAACTTCAATAGTTTTATTACAGAATAGAAGTAACTAAATCTATCTTTCACAGGATGCAAAACGCGGTACCGACCTCGAAATAGTGATTGCGCGGAAAAATCCACTCTCACCGAAGCCTTTGGAATTGGAACTATGGGTAAGTTTGTATTTAGAACTTACTTAATTAATAGATATTATTTTTATATTTCAACTATACTTTGAGGATATAACAAAAATATAAATGATAATTTTAAAACGTTTATAAATATAGAAGCATATTTTCTTATATACAGAAAACGTAAAAACCATAAACAATGCATTTTTTCTGTTATCCAAAATTATTTCTAATACACGGAAAATATTTATATTGAATATCTAACTATTTAAATTTTTTATAGATGTATATTTTTTCATTATTTAGATTTTTGACCGCTGAAAATTTTAAGTAAAATAACTGTACCGTATGTTTTCAGAATATTTTATAACAAAAAAAATAATAATTATATTATATATAAACTAATTTTTTTCCCATAATTTTTAATATAAAATCACAACATGAGATTACAAAGATTTTATCTAATAGAATTTTAGCCGACTTCGTGTTCGACGTTTCGCTATAACCACATAATAAAGTTGCTCCCATCTTAATAGGCCCCATTTAAGCTGCGATATAACGTCGTGCCTTAACGCCTCCACTGCGTCCATTTTATAATTTGTGTGGCTTAACCCAACATCAGTGAACAACAGAACCGTAATTATTATTTCTTATCTAATTAATTATCAAAGTTAAACATATGTAAAATATGAATTGTGGATATTTGCTCCAATCATTTACACAAATTAACATATGTTTACATGTTAAAGTACGCATTCAATTTATTTTACACAAAAATAAGAAGATATTATTGTTTTGTTATTGTTTAAAATTCCTGTCATATTTGCTATTTATTATAATAAGAAATATTCAGAATTCTCATGTATCTGCTACGATAGAATTTTAGCTAAAAATACTGAATTCGTACAAAATGTTTCAGTTCACTTGAATCCATAATCAAGATCCGTATGTGAATACAAGGATAATTTTTCATCGTTTTTAATCCTTTCATTAGGGGGATCTAAAACTACCTCTTTGATACTAGTATCTCACATCTACTTCATAGAGGACTCAGCTTGAACTTAAAATTAGATAGAAAAAACATCACTATTAAGACAACCCCATCTATTTGGGAATTATAAGGCCATATAGGCCTTCGAACATTTTTTTATCCAATGGTAAAATCAAAGTTTGAACAACTTTAACTGAGGTGACTGTGCGTGATACATTAAAATAACATTAAATAAATTCCTGCAGACAAACTAAAAGCTCAGAATACAATGAGGCAGGTTTAGCGTTGAGTTCGAGTCTGCCTGTCCGATGATGTTGCACAATTACCAGGCATTAAGAGGACTAAGGCGTGTTAAATTTCTCACAGCCCATGTAGAACGCTTGAGCACCCGTAACCCGAGGTCGTTTTACCGGCCACTTAAATGCTATAATAATAGCGAGCGTGTCCTTACGCGTACTGTAATTTGAAAGCGATCTTCTATTATGTGGGTAGACTTTTTTTATACCTACTTAAAATAATTACTGGATCATTTAAGAGGTTTTATGACATAAAGGTGTACTTATATAGACTAAGCGCCCGCTTCATAACCCTCCAATTTTTGTTCAAACCTGTTAAGGTGGTTAAAAACATTCTCCTTACAAATTCGCAAAATTTTTTACGTTTTTTTCTCTCTTCGTTCTTTTGATTTAAACGTATCTTTACTCTCTAATGTTTTATTTTAACACCTATTTTCCATCTAAATTCCATTTTTACATACTAATACAGTGAAATGTGCAGATGAGGAACACTGTCTATGGACAAAATTTTTTTTTGCTCTAGCCAATTCTGTCCAGGCTTAGTTAGTTTCTCTTCAGATTTAAAATACTAATAAGAGAAGATCTAGACGTACATTTTAGTACTGTAATAATAAAATACCTATCTAAACTCGTACAAGTTCTTCAACACACTCGTTCTGTACAAGTAAGAACACGGCTTACATTACACGAAAAGTATTTTTGTGCGCAGATAAAATATCCATCGTCTGCACTACATCCTCGTGGTTAAACTTTGTTTCTATTTTCGTATTAACTCTTTTTTTCTATTTCAGGGCTCGCCGCTATTCGCAATTCGACAACGTCGAGTATCCACCGAGAACACAGAGGGAACCATTTTTCTAGTCGGCCCATTGGATTTTGAAGCTCAGTCTATGTACCATTTGACTTTATTAGCCGTGGTAAGAAATATATATTTCATAAGTCAAATAACTTTAACAAAACCCTATTAACCCACTTATGATAATTACGTTAATTCTTAATCAAAATATAATAGAAGGTAAAACGCGGTCAACTTCTATATAGGTTTATGTTATTTAAGAAATTGGTTTAAACATGGTTAAGAAAAGTCATGACCCCTCCAATCTGTTTTAGGTTATAAAAGGTATTTGTTCCATATAAGTCTTCTTAATTAATCTACGCACGCTTTTAATTATACGGCCCAATATCTAAACAATCTAATATGGAATAAACCTAAATAGTTCGTATTGATTAAACATAGTTAATATAATGTTATATGGATGATTTCATAAGACATTATATTTGTTTATTAAATTTAAATAAATATCTGTATTCATAAAAATGTATAATTTGAAACTAAATAAACAAAACTTCTAATTAATGTGTTAACTATTTTTTTTTTGTTGGATGAAAATGGATTGGTAACCCTGCCCGCGCTGACGGGATACGCTGGCGGAGCACCAGTGAAGTGTGATAGCTGAGAATGAAAACAGGCCAGTTAGCCTATCATGATGAATTCATCATGAAGAATTAATCATGATAGTTTCCAGGGGAAACCGCGTGAAGGTCGACCTGGTTAGGTATATTGCTAGCAATGGGATTTATAGTCTCCATTACTAACACTCCCTTTCCCCCCTGTGTTAACTATTGTCTAGTGTGTTTTATCACTTTCTGTCAAAGTAGATAATAATTGGATAAAAATGAAAAAAAAAACTTCAATATTTAAATTAGGCTTATTAAATATTTTACATTTTACTAATACAATAAAATTGTAACTAGACTATATTTGTACAAAGGAGATATTTAAGAAAAATTAATATGGGGGGGGGGGGGGGCTTAATATGACCAAGAGAGGCTAAAACAATAATTTTAGCAATTTTGTCTATCTGTCTATATATTTACAATATTTCAGCATCACGCAAAATCTACTACATCAAATTAAAAGCAGTTTTCAATGTTGTATTTGTCTTTTCCATTGGTTTTCCTACTTTTAAAATCCACACGTACAAAGTAGCAGGCAAAAAACTAGTCAAACAACTCATGGTAACAAAAAACTCATGAGAAATTTTGACTATAATACATACTTGTTTTTAATTAAAGAAGAAATAAAAAACGTTCGTAAAATTTTATAGTCGAGATTCATAAGTCCTTTTTTATTTACAGGATCCTTATGTAGAAATAGGGAAGGATACGCGAAATATCGCCGGCCTAGAGGTCGTGCTAGTAGTGCAAGATGTACAAGACATGCCTCCAGTGTTCACCGCTGCACCCCCCATCACGCATTTGCCGCGGCAAGTAGTTCCTGGTGATATGGTGGTGAAGGTCCGGGCTGAGGATGGGGATAAAGGTGCTCCAAGACCGATCAGATACGGTCTAGTATCCGAGGGAAATCCGTTCACGCCGTTCTTTAACATCAACGAGACTACTGGTAAGTAAATTTACTAAGATATGAAAATTATGTCTATTATATTATTCGCCTAACTATCCCTCGCTTAGCAAAGGTCTTTTTTATTTTCTTTCAGATATAGATATTTTAGTCACCATTTTGCTGTAATTAGCTTTTTTTTAGTATAATCATTATCATATCAGCTATTAACAATCCACTATTGAATAAGGAATGGGAAACAGCGTCCCTCTTAAAACATCACTTAAAGCCTAACTGCGGTTTCCAACCCGCCCGTTAAACGTGGCAACTACCAGCAAACTCTATGCTAGGCCTATGTTCAGCGGTAGACAGTAAACAGCTGTAATGATATGATTAACTAAAATAGGTATATACATATTACAAATGTATTTTTAATTATAAAAAACAAAATTTGCAAAAGATAAAATATTACGTTGACAAGTCGGTAAAAAGCATATATTTGCCGCAAGGTCAACCGTTATTTATGTTTTACGTTAATTTATTACGGTTTTACACTAAGTGACTACCTAAACCCTTACTTTCAGACCCAAATGAGGGCAAACATTTGCGTACCCGCAAATTGTAAAATTGCATTTTCCTTCATGACATTTGTAAATAATTTATTTAGGTTTTTTATTTCTTATTATTATTTTAAAGGTATATATAATGCTTTGTTCCCATATTAAGTACAAATAACAGTAAATATTATTTACTTTATCAAAAGTAATATAATAATGATCATTTAAGTTTGTTATTAGTCTGCTATTGTATATAGCATAGGCCTCTCCCATAAAAGCAGAGTCCTGATCTATCCGTGTTTTTTGACAACTAACTCATTTGACATCTTCCGTATATCTAACGGAAGTCGTCCTACACTACGTTTACCTAAATGAGGTCATTAAAACTTTCTTCTCCAACGGTTATCAGTTCTTCCAACAACTGTCTGATCCGTCGCCACTTCAACTCGTCTATCCTTCGAATACCTATCAGTCAAAGATCCTACTTTAATATTTAATAATAAATTAAAAATATACCAATGATACCAATGTAATTTTCGTATGAATAGGGTAGATTCTATAGCATCATTCTAAAAACCTATATCTAAATTTAAAATTTCAATACGATGGTTTCACGAAATTACTAATTTAAGAACCTTCGTAACTAAATTTATAATATATTTGCCTTCTTTTAGAAATTTGGTTCGTATTATTCCTTAGAATAAAGATTTCGTCTTGGTATCAAATTAAAATTATAATTTTAAAAATATGATTAAGAAATGGTCGCTCAGACCCTAATATTGACTAGACTGTCTTTACAGAACATTACTGAATGAGTAAGTCGTATCGCCCTCCATATATCTTTCACACATTTCGATAGGTCAGTGCTTTTATAACGACTGGCTATTTTCCCGCTCATTCTGTGAACGTATTATTCACAAGTTCCTTTGACCCCGAACAACTGAGGAAATTACTACAGTAGCGTGTAACGTGTTGTTGTAATTATTAAAAGAACACCCATAAATCTTGTTAGTCCATTATGAACTTTCCCTGTTTGTGTAGTTATGATTATTACTATTCTGTAAGTTGCTAATAGCTGGTAGACATGGTAGTGATTAGATTGTGTACAAGATGAACTTTATAATAGATATAAATTTTTAAATTCATTATGTATTAAAACGTTTTCTGTTTATAACTACTTTATCTTTAATCTTGATCCCTTATGCGATAGGCAGAGAGAACCTAGTAAGAATGGTCTCTGTGCTGTGTAAATATATTAAATTGAAAGAATTTTGATAAATATATGTGTACTTATAAAAGTCAACATTATTTTATATCAAGCATTTCAAATTATTGCCATTTTTAACTAAAAATTAAACTATTAATATATTAAAAAAATTAGACATTAAAACAATGATATAAATACAAAAAAGTATTGTATTATTAAAGTAAATCTCTGTTTTAGTAGTTAACACTCACTTTACTCGTATACAGAATTTTATTATTATTTTCTAAACATTTTCACTTAAAGTCGAGGTCAGCGGTGTTTTTTCTCCGATAACATCTGAGCGTCCGTCCGCGGCTTCCGTAGGATATCCTAGTTTCTTATCGCTCCCCGATACTCCTAGCCTTCCTTTACTGAGTCGTGGCCTAGTTTTGAATGAACAGTTTGTTAATAAATTAAAAACCATATCTCGTGGTACTTTTAAATGTAAGGTACCTTAGTGGTGCAGCACTTTAACACTACCTCATCTTGCGATAGTTCTAAATTTGATTCGAACAAACCTCAATACAGACGTTAATATTCGTATGTGTGTTTTTATTGGACTCTGTATGTAATAATAAAATGTATTTGCAAAAAAATACACTTAAATATATCAAGCAATTGTCTAGTCATAGATATTTATAAAATAAGTTCTTTTTAGTGTCGATCGTTATGTAAAAATTAGAATATTATGTGCAGTAGTATTTTTTCAAGTACTTTTATAGTCTTCTATCTTGCATTATTAGTAAACAATCCTAAGTTACCAAAAATCTTCATACAATCACATACAAAGGTACAGTTGAATTCTTAATTTCCACTTTTTATAATTGATTGAAAATAATAAAAAATTGTGTACTACAAAAAAAAACCGACTTTATCTTGAAAAAGCCAGTAATTTTTATTTAAAAATCAATCTACTAAACCGATTATGATAAAACTTACAAAAATAAAATTTCCATGGGACCAAACTGTAAATATATCCTTATACCTTTTTAGATGCAAAAAAATTTTTCAAATCGGTTTGGAACTGACGAAGTTATGCAGTAACAAACATAAAAAAGTACAGCCGAAATAAAAATCTCCTTTTTAAAGTCGATTGAAAACCCAGCCTTTAAGCCATTTATGTATGTTTGTTTTTTTTTTCTAAAAGTTTGTTTTATTTTCCGGTCTCACCATTAAAAGTAACTAACAAATAATTAATTATTTCTGCCCGTGTTAATTTTAATGATTGTACCTGACCTAATTTTCTTCAACATTAAAACTACCTATGTAAACTTTACAGGCATTTTCATCAAACTTAAACAAAGTTTTCTCATTTAGTACAATAATTTAACACAGCAATTAAAACTACAGTCCAACTTTACCTGGTGCGCAATATTTACAATTGCTAATAAAGCTTTTGTGTCGCTAGAAATATATATAATATAATATATTATGAAAATACGTCCTTTTTAAAAATATGTATTAAGTACAATTAATATATAATAGCATGGGAATATATAATGATATACTTCCCTATATATTGAGAGAGATCAATATAATTTGTTGAAATGTTCAATTTATGAAATTGTAATATTTTCCCAAAGAAACATAGGTTCCGAAATGTGAAACATTTTAAGTCTTACTTACTAAAACAGCTTATCCAGTTATCAAACTAATATATGGGACTCAAAATTTGCGACCGTTTTTAGGCCCCTGTTTCTTTAGAAATAAAAGGTGTTTCAGGAATTGAAAGTATCCCATCGATTTCTATTTTACTCAACGTATTAATAGTCTAAAAATATCTTTATATAACATAGAATGTTCTATACATAGGTACATAAGTATATATATTATCCTATATTTATCTTACACGAAATGACATTTAAAAACAAAATCTCTAATCAAAATTAACATGACGTCTCAGAAAACTTTCTAACATTAAGAATGGTACCTACGCTTTCCGACCACTATTATCATGTCAACCCTAAGATACGGAGCCGATGGTGCAAGCTCGTGTTCTGCTAACCGCCACATAATGGCTCATTAGGCCAAACCCGTCGCTGTCTCACTTCAGCCACCATTGTTTGTAAAGCTGCCCTGCCTTCATAATAAAGCAGCACTTATATATATATATATATATATATATATATATATATATATATATATATATATATATATATATAGTATAATAACATATATACATAAAAAAATCGTGCTCTATATGCATGAATCAATCAATGAATGTCATTAAAATGTTTTCAAATAATTTTATTAACAATAGATACAATTGGTTCACGTTGAACACTAGCGAGCTGCCCCGGCCTCCGTTCTTACAAAATAAAATAGAATACCCATTGATTATATTAGAATAAATTTATAGCTAAAATATAATATATATAAAACAGACAAATTCATCCTCCAATATTATTTGATATAGAGATTCATATCAAACATCATTAAATTCCGCTTGTTTCTGAAATCTGAAAGTAAACAATCACTGGATAGGTTACATGCGCATTGCCAATCCTGAAGAAACTTTAATATAGTGTATATCCCGTGTGGTCCCATCATACAATAGGCCACCCCTTTCTTTTCCGTGAGTGTCGCAAGAGACGACTAAAGGAAGGCGAGGGATGGGATGGGATGGGGATGGGATGAGAGGCATCCCTCTTAAAACATCTTCAAATATATAAGCGTGGCAACTATTGGTGAAATATATATTGCATGGACAGTTAAAATCTGATATGATGGTGATGATGACATTATAAAAATTGCACTCTATTTGGACAATTATTTTGTCTTTATTGCAAATATATTTAAAAAAAAATCGACTAGTTTGTCACTTTTTACAATATTTCACTTAGTACCATCTACCATGCTATGTGTAAGGTCGTTAAGAATCCCGATATCAATTTGCATAGTTGTAAATTTATCCCATTGATCAGAACACCTTGGAAGAACTTGCGAATACTAAACGGGACCAAGTTGAATTCCAAAGTTCCTAATCGGAAGACCTACCAATTAAGAGATACGTATAAATTTTAGAAAGGAACTTTGATGGCAAAACTTCGCCGAGACTCGCGTTATTTTCAGTTATAGAGGAGTTGTGATTTATAGAGACATTCACAGTTATCAGTATCTGGTAACCATTGAAATACCTGTGATATCTTATAAAGTAGTTAGAAATTATATCAAACAGAACTTTTTTGACGTGGAAAAATTTCCTATATATTTTTTTGTGTCGAGTACTGCCAGGTTTTAATATATACAAAAATACTGTA